GACAAGGCTGGGAGGCTAAGTGTGTGGGCGCGGAGGGGGCACGCGGGGGCTGCAGCCGGAACGGGGCCGCCTGTGATGTCAAGCCTCCTCGGGAGCACAGTTCACCCTGTGTGCAGGGGGGCACAGGCGACCAGAGACCCCCAAACTCTGAGGTCACATGGCAGCTCTGCCAGCAGAAGGAGTCTCCCACTCAGGTGCCCACAGCGCGTGGCAGGCACCACGGCCCTGACCTGAGGCAGGGAGCGGGATTCTGTGCCTGGGGGCCCCCACCTCCACTTCTGTTCATTGGGATGCAAGGGGCGGACCCAGGACAGAGTGTCCGGAGGGCTGGGGCCACAGAGAAGCTGCCTAGAGTCCTGCGTGGGACGGGGTGGTTGGGGGTGGTCTGGCCAGGCAGGCCTCACCTGCACTCTGCATAGCTGGTACCTCTTGGACGTGCCCGTGCAGGTCCGGTTCCCGGCGCCCGTGACGGACGTCTTCCTGGAGAGAGGACCGGGCTGTGAGCTCAGGTCAGGAGTGGCCGGCTGCCGTCCTAACCCTGCTCCCAGCCCTCCTCTGGACGGCCCCCCCAGCCCTGAGCCTCCACGAGCTCCTCTGACTGAGGCCGCCTCCCTCCCTACTCCATCCCTGCTGCTCCAGCAGAGTCCACTCCTGTCTCAGGTACCCCCACAGTTTCAGGGGGCTTCTCAGCCTCCTCCTGGGGGAGGGGTGAGGTCCCCTTCACCTCTCAGCACATGGTGCAGGGTCTCAGGCCACAGAATTAGTGATGGTAGAACAGCGTTCAGGCTGGGCCTGGGCCCTCTGCTAAAGTGCACGCACACACACACACACACACACACACACACGGAATCGCATGCTCAGAAACCTCAGGTGGGCTCAAGCATAATCTCCGCTCCACAAAGAGGAAACTGATACTCAGAGAGGTTAAGTGACTTCCCCAAGGTCACACAGCTAGGAAGTTGCAGAGGCAAGATGTGAACGCAGGTCTGGCCAGCAGTAACCACTGCACTGTAGGCTTACCCCATGTTTATTCAACTCGGGTCTTCAGGATAGAAGGTCAGGGAGGCCTGACCACTCCCTGAAAGAGCCCTAGGCAGGGTCCTCTTAGCCCAGTGCCCCAGAGCGGGATGAACCGCAGGACATTCTTGCCTGGGACCCGACAGAAGCCGCATCCCCACGCGGAGGCCAATGAAAAGACTGACCAGCTCAGCTGGGCTGTGCAGCCTCAATCTGAAGGCTGCGTTCAGCCTGAGCCACCCCCCCAGCAGCTGCTGCCCGCCTCCTTGCCCCCCCCCCACGCTGTCCGGGCAGCCAGCCCCATGGGGCCCCGAGCTCACACCAGCACCTCTGCTGCAGGCAGTGCCGCTCCTGGGACGTCACCCCGGCCCCGCAGCTGCGGGAACATGCTGTCCACTTGGTCCACTCTCCCCACCAGTAGGCGGTGGCGTCGGGGCCCACCTCCAGGCTGTTGGACGTCGGGCTGTTGTCCTGGGTGAGAGGCCCCACGACGGTTAAAAGGAGGCTGGAGCACCTGGCCAGATGGGCCTGCCGACCCCGTGCCCTGGACAGGAGGACACAGCCCCCTGGGTGGGTTGCTCAAAGCCCCGGCTCAGACCTCCGGGGGGGATCTCTGAGGGACCTCCCAGGGAGCTGAGCGCCTCAGGTGCTACCTGATCTTGAGATCCGGAACCTTCTGGGGGCTTGGCAGGATCCTGACGCCAAACCTAACCATCCTTTCTTGCTCCCAAGTAGCCTCAGGGGTGGTGGGGGCCCAGCCTGGGTTCTGCAGGACCCAAACCTGTCTGTATACACACTACACCCCAGGCCTTTGTGCTGAAGGGGAGCACCCAGTCCCCACAGCCCCCATCCTGCCAAACTGGCAAGGACACCAGAGTGGCCAGAGCCCACCAGCCACCCACCCAGGGGCTGGCCTGACCGGCATGTAAGGCGTGCTCCTGGGAGTCGAGGGGGTCCTGGAGAGTGGGCGCTCCAGATGCCCTGGGCCCCTGTCCCGCATCTTGCCACGCGGCTCTCAGCATCAACCCACCTGGGTGAAGGCCTGTGCGCCCCACTCACCGTGGTCCCCGTGGACGACGTGCTCCCAGTCACTAGGGCCATAGCCAGCAGGGACCAGGCCCAGCGTGAAGGCTGCCATCTGCCCTCCATCCTAGGAAGCAAGGCCACAGTCACTGCCAGGCCAGGCCCAGCTCCCCTCACAGCCAGCCAGAGTCTGCTTTGGGGCCAAACCCCCTGGGGGCCCACCTAGTGAGGCCTGCGATTATCTGGGATCTGTTGGTAGTGGCTGCCTGCCAGCCCTGTTAGGTGGGCTCCATGAGTGATTAGAGATGCCTGCCATGGGCTTGAGACCCTGTGGTGATGGTGTGCGTGCTAAGCCCGTTCCACCGGATCTGAGGGCGTTTGGGGACATGGGCCAAGCTTTGCCTCTGAATACCTGAGCTCCTTGGAGAATGCCTGGGGAGAAACCCAGGGACACAGATAGGCCCAGGCTGCACCCCCTGGATGAAGGAGCTAAGGATCAATCTATTACCTCGGCGCTGGACCTGGCCCAATCAAGAGCACCCTGGGATTTTCGTCTGCTGGGCACGTGCTGACCGACAGGGGAGACCGAGCCTTCCCACCGGCCATATAGAGCTGCTGGAGCAGGTGTGGGTGAGCAGACTCTGCCAGGCACCCCCTGGATGCACCTGCTCCCTGCCTTGGAGGGACCCCAGGCTGCAGAGAGCCCTCTGTCCCCTCCCTCCCAAGAGAAGACACGCAGCTGGTACCTCCGGGGCCTTGGTGAGGGTGGCCCAGGGCCACCCTGGGGCTGTCTCCTTCCCGAGAAGTCCAGCCTCCCCAGCCCAAAACACGACTTGACCTCCCTGCTGTGGTTTAGTCGCTCAGTCGTGTCTGACTCTTTGTGACCCCATGGATTGTAGCCCGCCAGGCTCCTCTGTCCATGGGATTTTCCAGGCAAGAATCCTGGCATGGGTTGCCATTTCCTTCCCCAGGGGATCTTCCCGGACCCAGGGATCGAGCCCGCATCTCCTGCACTGGCGGGAGGATTCTTTACCTCTGAGGCACCAGGGAAGCCCAGACTTGTCCTCCCTGCCAGAGGTCAAATCAAGGGCTGCCTCCAGCCTCCCGGGGCCTCAGCCTCCCTTACCTGGCCCTGAGGTGGGAGGACCAGCAAGCCCTGCAGTGACCTCTGGCCAGGGTCTGTCTCGGGTCCTGAGCGTCACTTGCCAGCAAGTTGGAGGAGTTTCGGAAACCCCTAAGCCCATCCTCCTCTAGCCCGGGACCAGAGAGGGGAGCCAGTTTGCCCAAAGCCACACAGCCATGTATCTGGCCAACTAGCCCCCAGACCCCGGAGCAAACAGGGATTGGTTCCAGGGAAAGAAGGTAGAAAGCACCCACCGCCTGCTGCCCGCCAGCCCTGAAAACAGCTCCTCATCTGCCCGCTCTCCTCCTGCACCAAACCCTCACCTCCTCGTGGGCCCAAGCACCTGCAAGTTTCCAGGAGCTACACCAATGCCAGCCTCACACCCCAAGAATGTCTCTCTGCCCCAGAAGGGGCAGCAGTCCACCCCGGAGTTTGGAGCTGAGACCTTGAGATCTGCAGCCCCCCAGCCGCCTGCCTGCCTGCCTGCCTGCCCGCCTGCCCGCCCTCCCGCCCACCCGCCACCTGGGGGCTGCCCCTCCCCCGCAGGCCCCCACCTGCACCCCCACAGCCCCCCCGCCCCCCCCGCAAGCACAGACCCCCGTCCGCAGTCCCATTGGCTTGTCTGTGGCCCCGGCTCCTGCCTGCAGGCTGAAGACAGGTGCTGAGCCGGCCGCACACTTGGTTTTCATTAAGGCTCCCAGACAGCCGTGGCTGCAGGCCAGGCCCGGCTCACGCGGGATCCAGCCCTCCCTGGGGTCCAAAAACAGCCACCACCGGCCAGCGGGAGAGGCTTGCCTGCAAGCGAGGGCTTTGGACTCGGTGAGGCTAGGAGCTGAGAGACCCCCCCACCCCCCCGCCCCGGGCCAGGCTCAGAGGGTCTGGACCCCTCCCCAGGAGTCCCTGCTCCTGTTATATAACAGCTCCCCAAGGGGCCAGGGGCTGACCTGCAGGCACTGGGGGCCGCACCTCCGTCCTGGGCGGGCGGCCGTGGGAAGGGAAGCCAGACGGCGGGGAGGTGGCCTACCTGGCCGGGGCTCGGCAGGGTGTCCTCGCGGGGGAAGGGGCCGCGGCTGTGGGCAGGCGAGCCAGGTGCGCGGCGCAGGGGGAGGCTCGGACGCTGAGGGCCGCGGGCTGTGCCTCTCTCCCGTCTGCTCCCCCGCCCCTCGCCGCCTCCCTCCTCCACTTCAAAGCGCACCCACGAGAGGGGGTTCCCAGGGAGGCGCAGCCCAGCGGCGGCCGGGCGGGCGGGCGCGGCGGCCTTTATAGCTGTCAGGCAGACGGGGAGGAACTCACACTTCCCACCAGGCTGCTCCCCCGCCCGCCGCCCCGCCGGCCGGCCCGGCGCACACTTTAACCCGCTCCGCGCCTCTGGAGCACGGCCAGGCCGGCCCAGCTGCCTGCCTCCCGCCGCCGCCGCAAGCGGAGAGGCCGCCGGCCCGGGGCCACCACGCGGGACCGCGTGTCTGGGTGTCCAGACGGAGTGGCCGCTGGCCCGGGGTCACAGGGGAGCTCATGGGGAGGGTGGGGGAGCAGAACCGAGCCCCAGGCTTGGCCCATTGGATGCCTGCATCCCTCGGGGGGTTGGGGGGGGTGGTGGTGCCGTCTCTGCCCCTCCCCAGAATGGATCCTAGGTGTGTGAGACAGCCATCTAATGGCTGGCGCTTACAGATGGTGAGGCTGGGGTCGGGAGGGGAGACCCAGCTCTGAGGTCACCCAGCCAGGCTTGGAGACGTTTCTCCTGAGCAGCGGAGGGACTGACAGAGACCCAGCGCAGGCCCCAGCCAAGGGTCCGGGGATGGGACAGGAGGGCCCGCGGCCCGCGAACCAGACAGCTCGCATGGCCGGAGCCAGCGGTGGGGGAGGAGCGCAGAGCTTTACAGATGTTCACACCAGCTTGGCAGGGCACACGGCCTGGCTGGGCGCACGCCAGCTGGGCAGCCCCTGGCAGGCCGGCGTGGGGCTCCAGCCTGCGTTCCTGCTGAGTCAGAGCGTGGAGCAGAGCACGGAGCCAGCAGCATGCACTCCGGCCGCACCGCCCCTCCCTCCCCGGCACCCGGGGGGGGACCCCAGACACTGCAAGTCGCCCCGGAAGCAGGCCAGGCCCCCGCCCCACACACCGGGCCCTCTGGAGCCCGGAACGCAGGGGCACCTCCACACACGGTGGGGGTGGAAGGGTGGCAGCCCCGGGCCGCTCCAGCCATCCCCCTGCCTCTGCGCTGCAGACGGCTCACAGCGGCGCCTGGAGAGCCCTCCCCTCCTGCGTCCTCCCTGCCGGAAGGAACTGTGGCGAGCTCCTCCAGGCCGAGAGCCGTTCCACCCCTAGGGAAGTTCTGCCACCAGCAGGAGCGGCGGGGGAAGAGAGCCAGCAGCCCTGCCCGCTGCCCTGCCACCGTCCTGTCCCTCCCGCAGGAGTCCTTCCTGCGTGCCAAGAGCTAGGAACTCCCCACTTTACAGACGGAGAAACTGAGGCTCCAAGACTGTCCAGGGGCGCCCAGGGTTGCACGTCTGGTAAGCGGCACAGCCCAGCCCCCTGGTGAGCCCATCCCCACCTCGGCAGGCTCTTGGACCCAGACTCTAGGAAGGCAGGTCTTATCCATCTCTGCTTTTCTTCCCCTGGGGCCCCAGGGATATTCGGCAGAACCCAGGCCCACGCTGCCCCCTGTTGGCACGCTGGATTGCAGACACGACGGGACCTGTCACACAGCACTGGTGAGCGTGCACACGCACACGTGTGTGCACACACATGTGTCATACACGAGCACATGCACACACGTGTACACTGTACGCACGCACACACGTGTGCATGTGTGTGCATGTATGTGTGCATGCATACACATACGGGGCACACACTCACCGACCCCCTCACAGACACCCTGCTGATCACTCCTGCACTCTGGGGCCTCTGCCTGCCCCACCCCACCCCTCCAGCCAAGCACCAGGGCTCTGCATCCCCAGTCAGAGTCCCCAGCTCTCCGGACATAGCTGGATCCGCATCCAGCCAGAGCCAGAGTGACTAATGGTTTCCCGTGGGAGGGACCCTACAGCCAGCCGGCGCAAACGCCCCAGCGCCTCCTCTTAGCTCAGTGGGACAGCGCCTGGGAGGCAGGCTGCCACCCCAGCTCTGGGACCTCCAGCAGGTGTGTGACCTGGGCTGGCCCCCCATCCACCCCACCCCACCCTCTACCTCCAGGAGCTGGCCAGGGCTCCCCCTCCTGAAGGGACACCAGCCTTTCCCCAGACTCCAGGCCCACAGGGAGCTATGACCACAGCTTGGTCCACTGGTGGTCTGGGGGAAGGCCCGGGGCCCTGAAGACCCTAGGAATCGCAGGCGGGTGGTCGGGGATAGAGTCAAGCACAGGCAGGAAGCACAACGGAAGGCCCCGTCGCGTGGCCAGCACAGAGCTGCCGTGGGTTCCGGAGAACCGGCCAGGCAGGGCCTCCTGGTCCTCACGTGCCCTCTGGGCCCACTTCGTGGGGCTGCAGCCAGACCTGGACGGCAGATCCAGAGGATCTAAGTGTTGGCGACCAGAGCATCAGGCCAGGCTCAGAAGAGGTCCACACTCCGGTCCACTCTCTGCGCATCAGGCCAGGCTCAGAAGAGGTCCACACTCCGGTCCACTCTCTGCGCATCAGGCCAGGCTCAGAAGAGGTCCACACTCCGGGTCCACTCTCTGCGCATCAGGCCAGGCTCAGAAGAGGTCCACACTCCGGTCCACTCTCTGCGCATCAGGCCAGGCTCAGAAGAGGTCCACACTCCGGTCCACTCTCTGCGCATCAGGCCAGGCTCAGAAGAGGTCCACACTCCAGGTCCACTCTCTGCCATCACCGTTGCTGAAGGTTTAGTCGCATCATCTTAGAATTTGTGTTCTGGGGGTGACAGCGCATGGGGTGATGGGGTGTCTGCTGGGGGACCCCCCACCTCCTGTACCTCTCAGGTCTGCCTCCTGCCCCCTGGGGAACCAGGATCAGGCGGAGCCTCTGGTGGAGTCGCGAGGGCTCACGCCACGACCCCCCTGGGCCCAGCGGAGCACTAACATTAAGAGGGAGCGGCCCTGGAAGAAAGAGAAAGCTTTGATCTGTTGGTGAATGAGGGGCTTCTCGTGTTGCACTGAGCCCCAGCTCACCCCCAGGTCACACAGGGGCCCTCGGAACTGCTGTTTCCCAGCCCTGACAACGCCCAGGGCTCCCTGGGGTCTCACAGAAAGAAGTGGCATGGGGCCCCCATCTTGGTTCCTGCCATCCCCTCCCTGGAGCCCTTGTTCACACCCATCTGGATGTGCTTGGCCCTCCAGGTGATCTCCTGAGCACACCTCCTCCAGGAAGCCCACCAGGCAGCAGTCCAGCACTTTGATCTGGCTTCCCGACCCGTGGCTGGGACTCACCTGCCAGGCCCAACATATAGAAAGTGCTCGGCGTGTGGGAGCGTGGATTTGTCTGGCAGCCCCTGCCTGTTGGGGAGAGGGGGAGGTGTCCCCACCACTCTCTGGGCAGCCCTGGCTGCAGATGCTGTGGACACCTTTTTTTTAGAGATTTTCTGCCAGACCTGGATTTCTGAAGAGCTTGGAAACAGGAAAACGTGCACATTTCTGCAGGAAGGTGAGGTGAAGCGTGGGAAAGCAAGGCGGGAGGAGACGCGCCTGCAGGGAAGGGGCGGGTCAGGGAGGGGGAGGGGCACAGTGGGCCGGGGCGACCAGCCTGGCGGTCCTTGTGGGTGGACGGTCATGCTGGGAGCTGGGCCCTCCGAAGGTGAGGGGCCAGGGCCAGAGATCCTGCGAGGGGGTCCTCAACTCTGGCATCCAGAGGCCCACCAGCACGGCCCGGAGGGCCATGACCCCCACCCTCTCCCGCCATGTCCTGCTGCCCACCCAGAGCCTGGAGTGCTTCTTCCCAATGGGGACTGGGCCACCAGGGCCCCTGTGGCTAGTTTGGAAGTGGGGGGCCGGGACCGGAAGAGGACCAAGCCCCAGCAGAGGCCCCAGTGGCCGACGCCACCCGCAGAGCTCCCCTCCCAGCCCCAGGCAGGCCCAGCTTTCTCTGCTCTGGATCTTCCTCCCTCCGGGAGGACCCTCCTCCATGGCCCACTGGGGGTCGGCGATGCACGTGTGTGTGTCCCTGTCGTGTCCGACTCATCACGACCCGTGGACTCTATCCCGCCAGGCTCCTCTGTCCATGGGGATTCTCCAGGCAAGAATACTGGAGTAAAAAAAAAAAAAAAAAAACTTTATTGCCATGTATTAAAAAAAAAAAGAATACTGGAGCTGGTTGCCATGCCCTCCTCCCGGGGATCTGCCCCCAGCCAGGGATCGAACCTGGGCCTCCCACCTTGCAGGCAAATTCTTTACCATCTGAGCCTCCGGGGAAGCCCCGGGAGTCAGCAGGCTAGACCACAAAACAGAGCTCTCCTCCTCCCTCCTTCCCAGCACTGGCGTTTTCTGTTAGGCCCAGTCCTGACGTTCAAGCGGGGGACTCTATGTGTAGGCCTCCTCGCTCTTAAAACTCACAAGAAAGAGGCACCCTTGTCCCCAGATCTGGAGGAAGGATGGGGCCCCAGGGGGCCCTGGCATGACTGGGAAGTGAGCTCGCCGCCGCAGCTCCAGGGACAGCCCACCACCAGGCCCAGGGCCGGGCAGGACCTGCATCCTTGGGCCTTTGGATTACACAGCCCGCCCGGGTGTGCAGGAGGCCCCCAGGAAGGCGTGGTGCCCAGGAGCCCCATCCCGTCTCAGCCCCACTCCCTCCTCTGCACAGAGAGGCGGACCCAATGCGTGGCCACAGTGGGGGACGCAGGGCAGGGGACGACAAACCTGTGTCCCTGTCCCAGCCCTGCTCCCAGCCCCCAGGTCCCCAGGCATGGATGCTGAGGCCCACATTTCAGAAGAGAGTCCCCCTGTAATGACCCACATTGGCTCTTCGCTGCTTCTCATTAACAGATACGCTTCCTAGGCCAGCCGCTCCCACAGCCCAGCGCACCTGCCTGTGATCACAGCGCCCCTGTGGGACAGCGACGGGCGTCCCTCGTGTCGGTGAGGAGACCGAGGCTCCGGGGCCAGAGGGCACACAAGGCCCCAGCGCGAGGAGGGCAGAGCCCTTGCCTGGCTCACCCGGCAGGTATGGAGGAGCTGGGGGCCACGTGAGCTGCTCACGTCCGGCCGTTAGCCAAACTCAGCACGCCTGCTGTCACAGCGCCGGTTGTGGAGGTCCAGGCTGGTGCTCCAGCCTGGGGGCCCCAACGAAGGGGTAAGGAGCATCAGTGCCCAGACCCTTCCCACCAGGGACGAGGCAGGGGGATGCCTCAGGGGACCCCTGCACCCGGAGCCAAGGCCTGCTGTGCCCGGGGGTGACCGGAGCTCCAGGCTGGGGGTTGAAAGCATGGAGGACGCGAGTGCAGCAGCTGGCCCTGCTCTGCAGAACCAGTCAGGCCGACAGGCAGCTGTCCGGGAGACGGGAGCCGTGTGGCATTCCGGGCATTTCAACACCTCTATAAAACCCGAGGGGTGGGGACGGCGGGTCGGCTCCCCTCCCCGCTCCCCAGGCTGTGGTTGCCTGGTCAGGCGGACCCCACCCCAGCCGGAACGGCCCCTGCTGCGTCTCTCCGGGACCAGCACCACCTGCCGGGGACAGGGGGCATGCTGCCTGTGGTGGGGGTGGGGGGGCCTTGGCTAGGAGCAATGCCAGCCTCCCTGCCCCTCTGAGCCTCAGTCTTCTCCTCTGTAAAATGGGGAGAGAGAGAGGCGTCCAGCCGCTGACACAGCCCAGAGGGAGAAAACAGGAAGAGAGCTTGGCACACGCCAGCGCTGAATGAATGTCTGTGTGTGTGAATGGTCTTCAAGATACACCGGGCGGCGGGGCTGAAAATGTGAGAGCTCCCTGCCCTGTCGGCAGGGGTCAGGCAGAACGGAGAGCTACACTGTGAACTCAGAGGCTGCCCCCGGGGGCGGGCGCCCTGGCAGGAGGGTCCAGGCTCGCTGCCCGTGAGGTCTGTGCTGACCCCGGCACCAGCAGGTGAGGGCAGGGTGGTGGGGGGCGTACTGGAGGCCAGCTGGCAGGCGGATCCCTGGGCGGCGGGGAGGACGGGGTGCCAGCTCACATCTCTGCTGGCTCCGGACCTGCCCAGGTTGAGCTGGGCTCCCAGCCCGGCTCACTGCCCTGTGCCTCCAGGGGCAGTACCACCCCCGAGCAGCCAGCCTGATTCTTTTCCTCTGCCCCCCATCCCACCTCCCCAGGCCAATCACGTCCCTGGCACCAGTGAGAAAGGAAGGTTATTCCAGTCCTGTTCAGAGCAGGACACCTTCCCCCGGGCCAGCTGGTCTGTCTCCAGGCGAC